TTCATATATATTTCTTCTTCATTTAGCTCTCCATGTAAAAAAGCTGTTTTTATGTCAAATGTCTGCATTATCATGTTTTCTTTAACAGCAATTGCAAACAATAATCTCAGAGCACTTGTATCTACAACAGGACTAAATATGTCTTTGTAGTCTAGACTGCCCTCCTTTTGCTGGCAGCCTCGTACCACAAGACGTGCTTTGTATTTTTCATTTTCTTTAATTTTGAAAATCCATTTTGCTGTGAGCAATTCTTTACCTACAGCTTCTTCTTCGTCTACCAGTTCCCAGGTCTTATTTATTTTCAGTGAATTTTGTTCATCTTCTATTGCTTTACGCCATTTTTCCTTGTCTGAACACTGCATTGTCTCATTGTATGTCAGCAACACTTCATCATCCTCAAAATTATAATCTCCAAATCTCTTGGGTTTTTGAAGATCATCTCTCTTTCTCAGATTGTAGCCGGCTCTTTCAATTTTTTTTTCCAAATTATTTTCATTTCTTACTTCTGGGTGTTCATCAACTACTTGATTTATTTCCTCATTTAACTCTTCTTCTTCTTCCTGTTGTTCAAATTGTTCCTGATCATTTTCTTCATTTTCCTCTTCTTCATCAGTCTTTTCTTCAAAAATTTGAATATTTGCTTCACCTTTCTCTTCATTTTGGCAGAAAAATGAATTAGTGAAAATAACATCTCTGTTTACGAATGTTTCATTTTTTTCTGGATCCCACAATCTGTAGCCGTTTGTGGAATATCCTACAAACATTGATTCTTTACTTCTGCTGTCCAGCTTCTTTAATGGTTTCACTATTTTTGCATGTACCTTTCTACCAAAAATCTGAAGTCCACTCAAATCTGGTTTCTTTTTATACCATTTTTCAGCTGGTGTCATATCTGATCCTTTTGTAGGGCTTCTGTTTGTGAGATAAGCCGCTGTGAGAACTGCTTCGCCCCACATCTCTTTTTCACATTTTGCATCAAACAACATAGCTCTTGCTTTATTCATCAATGTTAGATTCAACCTCTCAGATTTTCCATTCAACTGTGGAGTGTAAGGAATAGTGAAATCAATCATAATGCCTCTCTCTTTGCACCAGTCAATGAACTGAGCATTTTTATATTCTCCACCATTATCACATCTGAATTTACTGACTTTGAGGTTGAAATGAGCCTCAGACTCATAAACATACTGTTTAATGAACATAAACACTTCATTTGCTGATTTGGTATTGAGCAAAAATACAACACAAAAATGTGACCAGTCATCCAGCAATGTGAGGAAATAATTCTTGCCATCATACGTCGGGGGATCAATCGGACCACAAAGATCACTATGTATGATTTGAAGGGGTCTCTCTGCTCTCTGTCTTACAGTCTTGAATGGCAGTCTTACTTGTTTAGCTTTTGCACACACAGAGCAGTCCATAACAGTTTTATCATTGAAGTTGACACCTTCACACATTCTAGGAAGTTCCTGTATTTGTTTCATATTCAAATGACCTAGTTTCTTGTGCCAGGTTATCAGTGTATTATTTTTCTCTTCTGTGATCAGAGCAGCTTCACTCTGTGCATTTAGTTTCACGACATACATGCCATTTTGATTTTTGTTACCTTCAAGCACCACACATTCTGTCGGCAATTCAATTTTATTGTTCAAGATGTACACCATCTCGTCATCAAAATATACAGCACCCTTATTTTGTGTTATTTTGTTCACAGATAAAAGATTCTTTGTCAATTCAGGAACACAGTAAACTTGATTCAGTATACAGTTTTCGAACTCTATGTGACCAACTCCTGTAACAGACATACTTTCCCCGTTTTTAGCAGTTTTTATTTGTTCTGAATGTTTTTCCATCTCCGACACATGATCAGCCACATTTACCAAATGTGTAGTTGCTCCACTATCGACTATGAACTCAAAACAATCATTATTGAACTCGGCTTTATTTGCTTCAAGGCTGTTAACACCATCAGCTTCTACATTTTGAGAAAAGAAAGCGATTTTAACATGTTCGTCATATTTACCATATTTGTTATAACTGCTACCAGTTCTACTTTTATTTCTGAAGAAACAATTCTCCTCTTTATGATTTGTTTTCTTACAAATACTGCATGCTTTATCTTTCAAGTAACAATTTTCTTCAGTGTGAGTATTTTTCCTACATATTTTACATAACTTTTTCTTAGGACAGTTTGTTTTAATATGCCCCACTTCATTACATGAGTGACAAATTACTTTCTTCATGCCTCTGTCTTTCATTTCGGCTCTAAAAGATACATTGGTGTCTTCTTTCGTACCCATTTTCATTTTGTCTTCTTCCAGTGTTAGTCTTGCGATGAGATTCTCCAGGGTTTTATGAGACTCTTGTGTAGAATCCCATGCGCTGCTGAAATGTTTAAATTGTTCAGGGAGTACAGTCATTATCTTGGAGATCATCATTGGTTCTGTTATTTTCTCATCTAGGCATTTCAATTTACAAATCACATTCTGGAGTTCACTGATATTTGTATTGACGTCTCTCGATTTGTCAAACTTGAAATTGTAAAACTCCTGTAGTAATAAACATTTTTGTTGACCAGTTTCTTTCTTGTATATCCTCAGTATAGTATCATACATTTCTTTAGCAGTTTCACATGACATGAGATGCACTTTCACTTTATTGTCTATTGTTCTTAGAATCACATGTTTAGCTGTGGCATCCTTGGTTGTCCATTTTTCCTTCTTTGCTTCATCTTCTCCACAATCTGCCAGTTTATCTGTACCATCGACCACATCCATTAGTTTCTTGGCTGTGAACAGAATCTTTACCTCGAAATGCCACATGGGAAATGAGCTCGAGTCTTTCAGTTTTTGTAAGCACGCGACCTCGTCACTTTCTACTTTTATTGATGCCATCTTGTAGCACACTGTTTTTATTTCTTGTTTTATGTTAATAGCCAAACTCTGGGCCCGTAACCTGTTGTTTTATTTTAGTTTTATTCAATCTTTTAATATATTCTATAAAATTGCAATGAGTGACATACATATAATAATTGTGACATTTATTAAAGTAATTCTCAAAGTCAAAACATTTTCCATTACCTACTTACATATTATCAATATGTGATTTCCTAACAGCTAATAGATATGGTTTGTTTATAGTAGGTACTAATATTTCTTCAATTTTTCAGCAGGGGAGGAGTTGCCATCCAGGGTATCTTGCAATTGAGTGCAATTAGTTACACAAATTGAAACCAAAACCCAGATTCCTTGAAGTTGAATTCAAGTTTTCAAGGATATATTACTGATTATTTGGGTACTTGAACATATCCATGACATTTCAAATTGTATCTTGGAAAAATGTATTCATAATTTTACTGCTTGTATGTTATTATTAAACTGTATTTATTCATAAGTAAACATTCTACTTTTTTTTCTGTTTTGTAATGTTTTATTGTAGGTTTTCAAAATTCATATTTCAGTTCCACAACTACCTCAATCAACACCTCATTCTTTTTTGATGCAATTTCAAAGTTTCACTTTATAATCTTTACTGATTCCTTTCAAAATAGGTACCTACCAGAAAGATACTTACTTTTGCTCATTGTTAATTTATTTCTACATACATAAAAGTCCTGGATTTCAAATTCATTCATAATTGTAAATTTTTATGAAGGTATCTTGTATAATAATTCAGGGGAAAACAATATACATGAGCACTGAGGGAAGGAGTATACTGGACTATCCTATTTGTAGGTACTTCTTTCTGGACTTCTTTGGAGTGGCATACAGTAAAACACATGTTATGTCAATGTACTTTCATTTTCGAACATTATTATTAATTCAGTTCCAAAATATACAAAACATAATGAACTATACAGATTGATAAGATAGATATTTTCAATTAGATGAATTTAGGATTACAAAATGATATCAAATCACAAAATTTATGATAATATACTGTGTAAATACATTAACTGAAATCCTAGGTCATTTGATCAATGTTTTCCTCAAAGCCTGGAAGTAATATTTTTGTATCTACTGTTAAATCCACTGTATTGTCAGGATGCCTTTGGTGTTGAATTATTTCTTGGTTTATAGACTCATTAGAGCTGGTTGCTGCTGATTTCTATTGTATGGATCAATTGCACATGATTCTGATGGCTATTTGGCTATAATATCTAACACAAAATAGTCGAATAGGTTAACACATTGTTCAGGGATGGTTTTCAATATGTTCACAGAAGGCTGTTCACTGTTGAAAAACTTCACTCCTGGTATCACCATTTGTGGTCTGTAGGATCCTTTTGCTTGAAGAGTGGAGTTATAGAAGTATGATGGTGAATATATCAGCTTCTGATGATAGTGGATATGCTTGTAATTTTTGATATCCCATAAAACTGTCCCACAGAAATGCACTGGTTTGAAGAAATTTGGTCCATGATTCAGTCAGTAGGTAACAGTAATTTTCCTCACATAACGATGAAACAGTAAGATCTAACAAATATAATTATGATTTCAGTTAAAAGTTCAACAATTAACACAGATAACATGATGAAATATCAAGAAAATAATGTATGCAAATCTCAAGAAATTTTGTAAACAAACTACACACTCTTTGCCGCCATCTTGTTTTGAAACAGCGCCCCCAACGGTCGATCACCTTGCCGACTCACCATTTTATGTTATTGAATTCCACAAGATTCCACTTTCCACCATGGTCAAAAGAAAAGTTCAAGATATTCTTGTTCTCTTCTGAAGAAAAATCCAATAACTGCAGTTGAAATTGTTGAAAAAAGTGTAAACAACTAGAATTGAAACTGCAAAAATGTGACCCAGTTGAGGCTGATTGAATGAATATATCTGAAAATGTATGAGAATGTTGAAAAATATTCAGATTTTTTAAAAATCAGAATACATTGTGAAAGCCTATTACTTTTTACATGAAAATAATTGAAAACTATCAAAAACCAACATCATCAAATGATTAAACCAAACATCAAACATCAGCCTCTTTAAATGGATTGTTTGAATGAAATGACCAAGAAAATGAATGAAAGAAATAATGGGGCATGCAGGCTATGCCTGGTTGAAATATACCAAAAATTTGATTTCATTAGCAATACAGAGAAAGATATGGTACAAATAATACTTCCAGATGTGGTAAGTTATATGATTTCAAAGTAAATCTGTTCAGAGATACTACTTCTAATAAAAATACTTCTTTTGGAGTGTCTGGATTTTCTTTGCAAACCAATTTGAAAATCAATAAGTAGATAAAAGTTGTATCCTTCAAACTCTTATAAATTATTTCTTTTTGAGTGAGTTTCGGATGTTCTTTCCTGTTGAGTTATATTTAAGGAAACAGTTTCACAAGTTTACATTTTCATTGTTTGACCAAGATGTTTCTACATTCCGAAACTGTTGTTAGTTGCATTTGTTCCTGTTTGATTGCATACTAAATTCTATTCCTGTTGTGACTTTTCATTCCATCAAAACCAACAGAATATGGAATGATCAGAATTCAGAATAACAATTGTGGTGATTGTCATAATGATGTAGAAATACATGGTGTCCTGAAATTAAATTGAAAGGTTTCAACCACAGAGTAAGAATCACAGAATCTAGGAACAAAAATAGTTGAAAACATTTATATTTATAAACATGGTTCCAGAATTGAGAGTAATGATTGTTTTATGTGAATATTTTCGACTCTGTGATAAAATAACCAAATTTTGTACATTGTACCTTACTTTTTATGTTGGATTTAGAAATATTTTCTGAAATTTTGATCAGGGGCCTGAAAAATAGGTGGGGAAGGACCACCTTTTCTCCCTACTTTTTTGTTTATGCAATTTGACAAACTATGTTGGAGATCAACCTGGGATAAGCCCTTTAGCCTCTTGTTTGAGATTGTCATCAATAACTGAAACTGCTAGGCCTTGTGCAAAAAAGTACCCAGAGAAAGAAAACAAGGATCAACAAAAAAGATGTCAGCCTAGTTCTAGAGCCAAAATGTTGAAGTGGCTGAAAGATTATGAAAAAAAAAATAATGAGAACAGAGAGCATCTAAGACTACGGGCTGGTTGAAAAATGCAACACTAGGATAACAGACAGATGATGACAGAGATAATGAATATTCTAAAAAGAAATAATCCATAGAAGTAGTCAAATCTAATTATAGCTCAAAATACTAGCAGACAATAGCAACATGAAATAATAGAACATAAATAAAACATGCATGTAAAGAAGTCTTTCAAATACTACTGGTCCTGTTTCTTCTCAACCAGATAATATTTATTTCCTAACTATTCTGCTAAATTTAAGGAGTGCTGAAATATTGATATTTGAAATTTTGACACAATCATCAATCACTACATAGGTACACTGACAAACATGGATTATTACATTCTCACTTGCCTATTCATCAACATTTGGCATTTGTTTGGTGACCCAAATATTCTACTGTGGATTCATATGAAACAAAGACAACGAATCACACAGTTATAAATGTGATGTTCTTTGGGGCTGAATTTGATTAGACAATGTCATGTGACCCCCTCTATATGAGTTAATTCTTAATTGATTCCATCCTATCCAGTCTCACTGTATTGTATTAGAACAGTGGGCATGGTATCTGAGCTGTCTAAGGCACTCATCACTATGCAGATGTGTTGTCAGACCGAATCTGGAGTGGCTGAGCATTTTTCATAAAAATGTGTGATTCCTATCTTGCACAACCAAAGAAATTCTGCTCCTGGCAGTGAAAGCAAACCCTGGTAAATTCTGAAAAAATTCGCATCGCAAATCACAATATACATCTCTATATAATGAAAATTTATAACTTCTGCATCAAGAACCAATATTTTGCAGACATCTGGGGTAGGGGAAGGATCGTTGTGATTCCTTAACCCAATGCTAACCATTTCAGAGCAAATAACTACTGACCTCGCTACTGACTAATCACTCTGGTTCGCTTCTGGAAAAATTGATCAAAAACAAACTTTCTGAATTGGTGAGACAAAAAATTCCACCATATCAATTCAGATCTAAAGAAAACTATTCCACACTCCATCCATTAGTTATTCTGGCATTCAATGTACAAACAGCTAGAATCAACAAGCAATGCTCCAGTGCCGTTCTTCTAGACTTTGAAAAATCGTTTGATAGTGTCTGGCTTTTGACAATAAGCCTTTATTTATTGTCACCATTGCTGTTTAATATATACTGTGCTGACCTACAAGAAATACAACAGGTTTTGAAACAACAGACATACATTTTACAATATGCAGTTGATACAGCATTAAAATCACACCAGCAAACCAAAACTGCCGCCATTCAACAACTCCCACAATTAACAAACCAAATCCATACTTGGTCCAACAAATGGAGACTTCAAGTCACCCGCTGGAAATGAAAAGTATAATTTTCAATCATACCCCATCCATCAATTCCCCCACTATCATTATCAATAATCATCAAATCCATTCAACGCTCCTCTGTAAAATATTTAGGGATCCATCTTGGCCATAAGCTGAATTTCAATCACCACACAGCAATTGGAAAAAATGAAGTTAAAGGAAGAGCAAAGCATTTCAAATCTTTAACAAATAGAGATCATGGCATCAACATCAGCAGTGCAAGTAGAATCTACAAATCAATCTGTAGAGCAATATTAGAATATGGCCACCCTCTATACCTGAATATAAGAAATCCCACAATGAAGAACCTGCAAATCGCCGAGACCTCCGCACTATGAACCATTACTATACTGCGTCATCCAGACAATTTGCTACACAACCCACCTGATGATCTGCTATATTCCATGAATGAGGTGCAAAAGCTACAGGAAAGACTACCAACAATGTCTAAAAAATCTGCCTCCGAGCCCGAGAACTTGAATCTGATAACTCTTTTACCTACTTACCTTAAATTATCTTGTTATTTTTTTAACAAAAACTGTTTTCACTTTTCAATCCACTCAAAACATTTCAAATTGAAAAGATAAAACATATTGGCTGAAGAACTCAGGTCGATGGCCACTTAGTTGTATTGTACTGTATATGTTTACACCTACATAATATGATCAATAAAGTACTTAATATTATTTGTGTGATTCTTGCTTGTAATCCTGGTAACACCTCAGCGGTCTCGCAATTCCCAATCATGCACAAGTTTCAACTTCTGGGAGTTGTTCCCCAATGCTGAAGTAGGCATACACAATTTTCACATCTTTGTTTACAAATTGAATTCAAGTTTCAAATTGAGTATTCTGCTCTGCATTCTGACAAATAAGTACATATTCACAATGATGATTTTCTCGATGATTTTACATCTATGATTAGATATAGTGAAAGTTACTAACCTTCATGGATATCACAGTGATATATTTTCCAAGTTTAGGGTGGGGCTAGCACTTGTGTGATGAAAAGCTAATATAGCAATCACTTAACTACTATTTTTCAACTCATTTCTTGTTTTTTTATGTGTACTCTATTATGTACTTTTTATTTCAGAATCTGGAAATAAGTGAAAACATAGTGCTTTGCAAAACTTGCAGTAATTTGGTCGAGGAAGCTTTCATATTCAAATCAACTTGTCTTGAGATTGAAGACAATATTCACAACTATGCAAGTGATGAGGTCCAAGCAGATTTAGAGAAATTAATTGGATTAAAAGACATAGATGGTGGCCAGAGACAGAAAATATGTAGAACATGCTTAGATGTTATTGATAATGAACTAGTTCATGAGCTTGGCTGTGAGAAAGACAATTTGCTAGTGAATATGCTACAAAAATGTCTACCAGAAATAGTGAGTACCTCCATGAGAATGTATTGATATCATAAAATGCTGGCCATTTGGATTCATTTCAATCCATAGTGTGAACTTTCATGGGGAAAAATTGAGGACAAGTAACAAAAATAGTGTGCTTATTGTTTTGAAACTAGTTTGAATTGCTACTTTCATCCTTTAATTTGAAATTTGTAGGGCTAAAATGAACTGTTTTGCTGCAGCTCAATTAGGTCAAGGGGAGTAAAGTCAAGTTGATTTACCAAATGATACTTCCTAACCTTTAGATTTGACTCCTGTTAATAGGTGAAAAGGTTGTACGCAAAAATATTTAGTCTCACTTATTTTTTCCTGCTCTTGCCAAATTTGTGAATGAGATTACAAAATATTGATATACAGGGTGTTGTTCCTACTCGAAACCTACTTATTAATTTTCTCAAGGCCGGCCCTGGAATGAGACTTTTTTTAAGAAGGTTAAGGTCCCTCGTGCTATTTGTGGACTTGAACAAAACAATCTCAACATGTATTTTTAAAAAAATTTTACAATAACCCTTTAGGGAACATTTTTGTTAAATGTATGTCTGTTCATAATCCCGTTTGTACCATAATGATGTTTGTGATCACTAATTTTTGGACCTTTTTGTAAATACTTGACGAGTATAGCACTGATGATGGCTTTTTAGCCGAAAGCGCTTTGCGATTTATAATAAAAAAAATTTTACACGAAATACAAAATCTCTTCATTCTATTTTTTTATTATGTCAATCGTCACCACTGTGGACAAAGAACATGAAGAAGTATGAAAACAATGTATAAGGTGGTTCATAAGTTATGATTAATTGAAATACAATGAATCACCCTGTATCTTGATTGTAAAGAAGATAGACTCATGAAATTTAGATTATTCAGAAGCACCTCAGTGTCCTCCATCTACCCTTACTGTATCGTTACCACCGATACAACAAGGCCTGCATGCTCCGTGGGTGACGTCACTTAGTGAGGCCTAACCAGCGGCTCGAAACGACAAGCGCTTATAGCACTATAAGGCGACCGCGTATTTCGATTTTAGTTTTAGATCATCATTGAGCCGATTTTGCTGTTTTTTGAAGAGCTTCCGGTTAAAAAAGGATGCCAGTCGTCAACTGAGCCCTTCTTCGCACTCCATTCGATTTTATCATGGAAAAACGAAGTTTCAAAGCAAAAACCAGGATAAAACACAAATATCCACCTACAGCAAGCCATTCGAATTAAATATATGGGCAAAAATTGTGGTGAAGGTAAACTTCACACCTCGCTTCACACCTATACTTATACAGGGCCTGCAGAACATAAACTTATCGTGAGATTGATCGGAAGAAAAGTGTGGAAAATGTATTTTATTTTGATTGACATGCCGTTTGTTACAATTACCTATGTTTATCTTGGAGAATTCCTATTACCTGAAAAAATAACCAGTGAGTGTTTTCAATTTTCTGTTGTTGGATTTTTCAGCCAAGTGGATCGTTACACTTGAAACCGTAATTTTTAAGGGTAAAACTGCATTTATCATGCGATGGTTTTTTTTTCTGAAAATTTTTTTCGGTACTCACGTATTTTTGTCTGATAAACCGAATTTTATAATGAAAATGTGAACAAACCACTATTTATTGAGATATTTCAAGAAAAAGTTCGAAATTTCGCCTTCTTTCTCCCCTTGTTTTGGGGGCATTTGAAGCTACTTGCTCTTATTTTGTCATTGGACACTTCATATACTCATGATGTACTTCGATGGCACATTTATTTATAGAAAATTCAACAGAAAATATGATTTTTATGGCGAGTTTTTCATATTTAGTGAACAAGAATTCCAGATGACGACCATTTAATCAATAGTCAATCAGAATACGAGATGTCAAATGTCAATAGATTGCTTTCGAATGACATTACACACGCCATTATTTTGAATGATATTCTTTCTTCTTTTCACTAAGTATGGATTAATCTCAAGAAAATCATATTTATAGTTGAATTATATATAAATTGTCCAATATGATGAAAAAAAAAAAAAAAGGGAAATTTGTTCTAAATGCCATCCAGAAGACAGGTGAAAAAGAAGGTGAAATTTGGAACTTTTCAGTCAAATATCTTCATGATAAATATCATGATAAATGCAGTTTTACCTTTTTTGAGTAGAGTGTTTGTAGTTCATGTTAATATGATAGTTGGAATAGTTGGAATGAATTCTGCATTCATTGCCACGAGGCAAATGACCGTTTTCAGAAAGAAATTTGAGAATGAGAATTAAAAATGCCCGTTTATTATGAACATTCAAGAAAATTTCCTCGAATTCAGAGATGATTTTGTTGACTATAATATACGAATACAAAACTAACTGCACAATCAAAGCTTTTCTATTCTTCCTCTACTTATACTTTTTATGAGAGAGTACCTAATTGTCTTCTATTATTAATTCATCATTATAAATTAAGCTCTGTTTACTACTGAACTTAGATGGAGTAAAATCCTCGCGGTGAATTGCATTGGCTCCTCGTCCAACGGGAAACTAAAAGCATGAACTTTTGAACCACCCACATAGTTCCCCCCACAAAAGGGAACACAACACTTGAAAGGCATTGTTATTTCGCCGATCACAACACAACATATTTCACAAAACAGTAATTTTTTCGCCAATTATTTTGATGAATAAACAAAAAAAAAATTCGGGACCGTTTCAAAAACATACGTGAATCACCGATGAATTAACACGAACTGACGCGTTAGTCGACAAGCGATAAAATAAAACACTGGCCTCTCTTGGTGACGTCAAAAGCTGTTTACGTCAGAGTCTGCTGGCCTTGTTGTATCGGTGATAACGACTGTATGCGCCTTTCCCAATTAATCACCTTGTATGATTTTATATTTGGTATATAATATATGTATTGAGAAAGATACTCTGTCTTCCAATAATTATCAATTTACAGTCATTTCAAGTTGATGACTTCCGCTTTAACAGGAAGTTGAATTGTACTCTCATTAGGTTCATCGGATGAAGCCCCAAATAAAGCGGAAATCTCTATTTCAGACCTATGTAAACTGATCGAAAAAAATCTTAGGATATACAGAAATCAATAGCTATACTACAATTTTTCTAGAAAAATGTCATAGCAAAGAGACAATCTGCTCAGCTTATGCAAATGACAGATATTCATATCTGAGAATATTCTTTTTCAATACTTCCATACCCAATCCAGGGGTTCAAACTTAAACGATGGAAACTTGTTATTTTCATAGACCTTTAATCGCAGATTCATGATTGGGTTTTCTCCAGTGTTTCACTCAAAAACAAAAATGTCTATCGCAAAAAGTCAATATCATTAACATTTGTCGATCTTTTTGTATTAATTGTATACCTCATAAATTTTCAGATATATTGAAACAGTCTTTTTCAGAACTCCATGTAACGAAAACCTAAACCCTCGCCTCAACCATGTATATAAACATTCCATAAACAGCATATTTCACTTTAAACGCCCCCCTGTATATCTCAGCTATTGATAATAATAATAATAATAATAATGCTTATTGCAACAAAGAATATGACATATCTGTGAATACTGCTTTTGGGTTAGTTAGTTATATTTCAGGACCTTCATTTAACGAAACAACCTGTTTTGTGTGAAAATTGTAAATCACTGTTGAAAAAATCATATAATTTTGTCTGTCAATGTATGGAAAATGAACAAAAAATTTCAGAATACCAACGAAATAATCAAGGAAAAACTCTAGATCTTATTGAGGCTGTACAAGTGATAACTTCAAAAAATGAGTATAAAATTCCTGAAATAAATATCTCAAATGTATTGACATCTCCAAATAATTCAACGAAAATGGGAACTTCAACTTCAAGTTGATGACTTCCGCTTTAACAGGAAGTTGAATTGTACTCTCATTAGGTTCATCGGATGAAGCCCCAAATAAAGCGGAAATCTCTATTTCAGACCTATGTAAACTGATCGAAAAAAATCTTAGGATATACAGAAATCAATAGCTATACTACAATTTTTCTAGAAAAATGTCATAGCAAAGAGACAATCTGCTCAGCTTATGCAAATGACAGATATTCATATCTGAGAATATTCTTTTTCAATACTTCCATACCCAATCCAGGGGTTCAAACTTAAACGATGGAAACTTGTTATTTTCATAGACCTTTAATCGCAGATTCATGATTGGGTTTTCTCCAGTGTTTCACTCAAAAACAAAAATGTCTATCGCAAAAAGTCAATATCATTAACATTTGTCGATCTTTTTGTATTAATTGTATACCTCATAAATGTTGATTTTATCCAGGTGCCAGTGGTAGAGGGCTAACAGTGGACACAGTAATTGAAAGACTTTAAGAAACTGATTTTTAATCTCCGTGAAATACAAGAATACATACAATATAAAAGTTTTGTTACATTATTATTTTCTTGTTTTAGCAACACCATAACAACATAAAACAACCGACATTTATTACTCATTCTTTCTTCAGGCCTTCTCTGCCTTATACAGAGTGATACGAGAAATGAGTAACCTTCAATATTGTAATAACAACATTCTCCCTCAATATTAAAGGTGGAATAATAAAAATAAAATGATAGGTGAAACACAAGTACTTATGACGATTTCATATTCAATTTCTCACAGATATACTTATGTTTCCTACTACCTAGGGATTTAGTTAGCATGTCTGCTATCATTTCAGCCGTTGGCATATATCTCAACTGAATCTCATTATTTTTAATTTTTTCACGTATGAAATGATACTTAACATGTATATGTTTAGTACGCTTATGAAATATTTGATTTTCTGATAATCTTATAGCACTTTGGTTATCATTGTAGATTATCATTGGAATATTTATGAATAGAAATTCACAATTTTTATTTCCGTCAAAGATTTCAGAACACAAATATTTCAGATACATTGACTCTTTTGTTGCCTCAGATATACCAATATATTCTGCTTCAGTTGAACTCAAAGCTAAGGTTTTTTGTTT